TTCCCCAGCACTGTTCCCATCCCCCCAATTCCCCAATAAAAATCTTTAACAAAAAAAAAAAGAAAGAAAGAGAGAGGGAGGGATGAATAAATGGAGCACAGAGGATCTCTAGGGCAATGGAAATTCTCTGTTGATCCTGCTTTAATGGTCGACACATGTCATTATGCATTTATCTAAACCCATAGAAGGTACAACACCAAGAGTGAGCCCTAATGTAAACTATAGACTTTAAATAACAAAGATGTGTCAATCAATTAGGTTCATCAATTGTAACAAATGTACCACTCTGGTGGGGACGTTGACACTGGGGGAGGCTACATGTGTGGGGGCATTAGGATATGGGAAATGCCTGTCCCTGCTGCTCAATATTGCCGTGAACCTAAAACTGCTCTAAAAAAAAATTGAGTCTTTAAAATTTTTTTTAAAGCAGACTACAAAACCACATATAGCATGACCCTTGTTTTATAAAATATAGAGAAATATAAAGAAAGAAACACAACATATAATTAACAATATTTGACTCTGAATGATATTAATAGGATTCTGGAGGGATTTTTAAATTTCTTTATATTTATTTCTGAATTCCTTATTTATATTAATTTCTATATTTGCCAAGAAAATTAGCAAAGAACTTACTTTTATTACATTACTTTTAGTACCAGGAAAAATTTTGAATGAAAGTTATTTGAAAAAAATAATGCTAAGAAGAAACTAACCAGAGCTGATTAAGTCCAGCCTTCACAAACTGGTTTTCACATGTGGGGCTGACTGGGAGAGAGGTTTACTGTCTGGCTGACTATCATCTTCTTTCCTTCTCCAGGCAGGACTTATCCAAGGTCACTTTACCTCTGCTAAGGCTCTGGATCTGAAGGCCCATCCAGTGAGGATGCCCTGGGCTGTTGCCTGAACTCAGGGTCTGCCCTCCAAGGTTCATAGGGCAAACGCAATATCCCCTTTCCCTCTTTTCTTGATTTTTCCATCATTTGGACTGTGACACTTGATAACTGACCTGAGACCCTGGTTACTAAGTAGAGGCAGGGTGGCATCTAACACAGGAAGTGCCCACTTTGGACCAAGGTGGCCTGAGCTGGAATCCCTGCTCACCACCTTGCAGCTGTGTGCCTCTGGGCATGTCGCATCACCTCTTTCAGTAACAACGTCCTCATCTCTATCCCAATTAAATTAAATAACAATTCTAGCACAGAACCTGGCACAAGTAGGAACTCAATTTATATCGATTTTCTCTCCTCCTTCCTTTCACATTTATTTACTTACATGAGAAGTCAGTTCTCTTGTCTCCTTCCCCTGATTCACAGAACTCTCCAAGGGGCCTGGGGCAGAGTCTAGGGGCTCCCAGATCTCTCCTTCCCATCCATCAAAGGCTCTGCTCCTCCTCAGTCAGCAAACAGAATCCCTCTGCTGACTACCAAGCCACAGAAAGGATAGTTGAGCTGCAGCTACGTCACAACTATGCAGTGACTCCATGGGGCTACCCAGAAGAGGTGGCAGGGTGGGGAAAGGATAGGTAACTTGAGACCTCCACCTCTCAAGCCAAACTAAAAGAATCTGATCATCAGGTTTTTTATTATACATAATAAACCCAGGGCCCTGTGTTACCAGAACACACTTTATGAGCATTACGTCCATTTCCTCATAAGAAAAAAAAAATGATCCTGAGCACCTAGTACACTTCCAGCATGATCTGCATGCGGAACACATAGTGGAGCATGAGACGAGGTCTTTGCCCTTCCAGGGCTCAGTTTCCACTCCTGCTGGAGGTGTGGGGTGCATCCATCCACCTTTATTGCCAAGACTTAGAGGACAAAGGTGGGGAATGTTTGGGAAGCTGAGAACCATACGGGTACTTCAGCCCATCAGGCACGGAATCTACCTTCCTCTCACAGAGACTCACAGAACCCCTCACCTGAAACGATGAGCCCACTGGTCCCTGTTGGAATTAGTTTCAAGTGGAAGGCATTACATGGTCCTAACTATCCTCATCCAAGATACTAAATACCCTGCTCTGTCACTTGGTGGCTAGGTGACCTTGGACAAGTAATTTAACATCCTCTAATCCTACTGCCTTCATCTGTAAAACTGAGGTAAAGATATATCCCTCATAGCATTGCAGGAAGAGCACACGAAATCACATGGGAAAAGCCTCAGGCTCAGTGTTGGAAAAGTCGGTGTTCCCTGCACTGCCCTCTCAGAAATGGTACCACCTGGAGATGAACAAAGCATGGTTCTTAAGAGTAGAGCTTCCAGAGATGGGCTGTCTGGTGTCAAATGCCCCCATCTTCAAGATGAGGGTCGTAACAGTGATCCCTGCTTTGTAGGGTTGCGGAAGTCTTGAATTACTACATGGGATGGGCTTAGAACAGTGTGTGATGCATAGCAAGAATGGCATGTTTGCTTTTTTTTCTTCCAGAAAACATGTTGATGGGGATCATTGATAATGTAGCAATTAGCACATAATTATACCTTCCAAATGATCTTAGAGAGTATGCAGGTATGTCCTACTTACTACCAAGTATACAGGAAGGTATAGCAGCTGTGAATACACACACACACACACACACACACACACACACACACACACATACACACCACTAAATCATGGACTGAACAAACGTGATGATGACAACTGTTTTGTCCGTTAGGTCAGAAATCACAAGACATATTCAAGGCAGAAGTGTACTTATACTAGCACTGGAGTTAGATAGACTTATACAGACTTGAGTTAGAGCCCTAGCTCTGCTCTTTCTTAGTGGCCTAACTTTAGGCAAGTCACTTAGCCCCAGTTGCATCCCCATAAAAGTGTTGGGGCAAGGTTGGGGGAGTTAACTCCACCTGTCTCACCAGCCTATTATTGGCCTCTGGTGGGTACCACATAATCCTTAGCAGTCTCTGACTCCCTAGTGCTCCCAGCCTAACAGTTCTGGGAGGCTTTCTCCTTTTTCCGGCAGGAGACTCAGCTCAGACAAGCCCATAGGCTGCTTTGTCTTCCCCTGAGACCCCTAAAGAGCAGACTGAAGAGCATTAGAACAGCAGCTGCCTAGCTCTGGGAGGGAGAAACGCTGGTCAGGGGTCCTAGACCCTTCACTCTGTTTATTCAAACTGCATAGTATCTCCAGTCTTTACAATCGTTCACTGGGCAGAAGGAAACAAGACAGCTGGGGCCCTCTCTGGTTTCCACCGAGCTTTCTTTTGGAGAAAGCCAGCCTGAGTGCCGCTCACTCTAGGAATAGCTTTGACACTGAGCTCCTGGAGATGAGCAGGGTTTGGGGCACAGGTTGGGCACACACAACCCCTCTAAGGAGCAGGGAAAGAACACGGGGGAAGGGGAGAGGGGGAGGGCAAAGCTGGAGATAGAAGTAGAGATGGGGACAGATAAAAACTAGAGCTGTGACCAAAACACAGGACAGAAGGGTCAGGGACAGAAACAGGGCAGGTCAAGGATGGAAACAGGGCTGGGCCAGCACAGGGTTCAAGGTGGACAGAGGAGCCACAACAGGGGGATGGGGGAGCAGAAAGAGGCACAGGAAGCACAGAGGAGGGCTGGGAAAGGGGTAGCAGGCAATGCAGGCTTGTGTAACCTGGGGACCCTCGATTGCCCCAAAGGGCCCACAGGAAATCTGGGGGTGGGGATCTCCAGTTGGAACCCACATTTTCACCCTAACCTGTGCAATGCTTTCTAACAGCAAGCAAAAGGAGCACGGTTTAGTTTAGTTAGGACTGGCAAGATTCACTTCTTATTTTAAAATTATGACATAAAAATACTCAGATGAAATGCCACCCCACAAGCCAACACCCCTGCAAAGTTCAAGTCAAGCGCCCCCATCCCAGCTCCCTGTACCTTTAAGGAGACGTTTCCCTCGGCTTCCCGGCTGAAGAGGCAGGTTATTCTTGGATATAGCGACGATGGACTTACCTAAAACTGAGTTATTCCCCTTCCTCCTCTGGCCAGCCTCTCTTCACTCTGGGGAGCTTTTACCATTTAAGGTCAATGTTACATCTGGCTCCGGAGCTCCGAGCTGAGAAGCCTCTGGCTGCCCGCCTCCTCTGAGAGGGGCTGGGACTTAGAACCCAAAGCTTCTCCGGGAGCCCCCTCGGGCCTGGTTCAGGGGACTAACGACAGGGGAAGCTGACCAGACGGGCCCAGGGCTCAGGACAGGCTGGGCCTGTGAGGCAGCAACTCGCCCTGGATAGGGCACCTGGGCCCCTCCCACGGGCACCCGCACAGCGGATGGCAGTGCCCATGGGCAGCTCGTGCCGCTGGGTGCTGTCCTGGATAGACGGGTACCGAGGGAACTCTGCAGATCAGCCTCCCAGCCTGGAATCTTCAGCAAGCTTGTGAGCCTGGAACAAGACCCTGGCCCCGCGCCAGGAGAAACTAGGAACATTTCCTGTCCCGGGGATTGGGGGGCAGGGGCTGCTCCCACCCTAAACGCTTAGGATTACCGGAAAGAAGGACCTGGAAGATTCAGCTAATCGGAGACCAGGGCACCAGCCCCAAGGGCTTTAATCTCTGCCCCTCCGCTGAGCAGCCCTGTGATCTTAACATCATGGAAGCTCAATCACCTCATCTCTAAAGTGGAGATAATGGTGACAACGCCTAACTCACAGGGCTGTAGGAGGATTAAATGAGAGAATATTGAAGGGCTTAGCACAGTGTCAGCATCTCATTAGGTGCCAATTGGCACAAATTTGTTTCCTGCCCCTGTCCAGACATAGGTGAGGAAGGGCTGCCTCTCTCCTGGAAGTCCAAGCCCTGTCCCTACTCCTCACCCACCTTGGGCGCAGCGCTCGCGTGGAGCCAAGATGATGGAGCGCCAGGCTCTGGGTAAATCACATGGGAACTCCGGCCATCTTCCGAGGTTTTAGAGGCATTTGAAAGAAGCCCTAGGTAGGGTTGCCCAATAAAATACAGGACACCCATTTAAATTTGAATTTCAGATAAACATCACATAACTTTTAGTGTAAGTGTGTCATAAATATTACCTGGGACATACTTATATTAAAAATATGTGAGGTTATTTTTTTTTAATCTGAAATTCTAATTTAACTGTGCATCCTGTATTTTCATTTGCTAAATCTGACAACTCTAGCCCTAGGCCATCACATGTCACCCATAATGTATTCACCAGTCATGCTGAGAGCTCTAGGGATTGGTGCTTCAAGGCCTGTGGCCTCAAGCCATCCTGGTGATGGCTGCTTGGCTGTACACAGCCCTTCACTGCAGCTCCTGGCCATGGGTCAGTTACCGCAGTCATGACAGTTTTTCTCCACCAAACCTGGCCCACAGGGCCTCTGTCCCAGCCCCTTTCACGGGCGTCTGGTCCTGGACGATCCCGCCTCCCTGGTTGTTATGAGAGAGAGTCCTGATGAGAATGCAGTGCATGTTGTCTGTTACACCCATAAATAATTGTATTTTTGTAGATGGAGGCAGAGGAGACTGTCCTGGGCACTAGTCATGCTTTTCCTCAGGTGTCTACACCTACCCATCTGCTGGGTACAGGCTCCTATGGCAAAGCCACATGGTGGTTAACGACTAGAATTGCAGGTATAGGGACTAGAGTGCATTTACCGGACTTTTTACCACTGTTTCTCCAAATTCATTGTGCATTAGAATCCTCAAATATGAAACTCCTTGGACCCCTCTTCCAGAAATGCTAATTCCATGGATCTAAAGTAGGACCCAGGGATCTGCATTTAGATTCAGGCCCTCAGATGATTCCAAGGACCTCACTTTGAGGAATGATGTGCCAAAGATTAATCTTGTGAACCCAGCAGATGTTACTACAGAGACAACCAGAGACATAGGTTGAAACGGAATTGAAGGCTTTGTATACATGTGAAGGAGAATGTGTGTGTGTGTGTGTGTGTGTGTGTGTGTGTGTACAAACTGTATATTGAGCACCTACTTTGTTCCAAACCACTATATTAGATTCTGTACATAAAAGCATGTATGTCTCCTCACAAGTGCCCTATGAAAGAGAATTATTATACATTTCCTTCAAAAAGGAAACTGAGATTTCAAGGGGTGAAACAACTTGCCTGATGTTCCACAGCCAGTAAGTGGCAGAGCTAAGGTGGGAACTTCGGTGGTTTGGCTCTAAAGCTGTTTTCCCCTGTACCATACCTCCTCCCCTTCAGCCAAGGCTTTGTTTTTTTTGTTTTGTTTTGTTTTTTTAAGAAATTTTATTGAGGAACAATGTGATTTTCCAGAGCCCAGCCGCTCCAAGTCAAGTAGTTGTTTCAATCTAGTTGTGGAGGGCACAGCTCCTTGGCCCATGTGGGAATCATACCGGCAACCTTGGTGTTATGAGCCTGCACTCTAACCACCTGAGCTAACTGGCCATCCCCAGCTGAGTTTCTTAAACTAGGGTTTATGGATAGCCTTCAGGGGTCACTGAGCCAACTAAAATTGTATGCAAAACACCATGTGACTTGTGTTTTTGTTGGGTACAGACTCATAGCTTTCACCAGGCTTGCAAAGGAATCACCAGATAACTTTTAAAATCAATTCATGAACACAAGAATTTCATAAAATACATTGCTGGTAGGTTTTTAAAATGGAACAAGCTCTAAAGAAGACAATTTAGCATTATCAAGATTATAAGTCTTATATCCTTTGGCCCAATTCCACTTCTTCTTGGGTTTTTTTTGTTTTGTTTTGTTTTGTTTTGTTTTGTTTTAGCTGAGCCATCCTGCCACCTGTTGGCAGCTTAGGAGCAGCTCAGCTCAGGCTGGGAATCGAACCGGTGATCCTGTTGCTCAGAGCTCACACTCTTGGCGAGCTCTTAACCAACTGAGCCATTGGCTGGGCCAACCCAATTCCTCTTTTAAGAATTTATTCTATAAACACACTCTCACACCTGGGAAATGACAAATGAACAAGATTATTCATTGCAGTTTTGTGAAAAAAGCAAAAGGATTGGAAACAACATAAATGTCCACCAATTGGGGACTATAAAAGATAATGGGGTACAACCATAACAATGGATAAGGAAGCTCTTTGTGTACTGATATGCAAAGCCTCCAAGGTATATGGTTAAGTGGAAAAAGTAAGATAATAGAACAGTATACAAATACACACACAAAAATATACTTATATTCACATATACACACTCACAAGTACATATGTGTGTGTACACACAATCTCATTAAAATGAGCACAAAAAGAAAATAACATTAATATTAGCTGTCCATCGAGAGGGAAATTAGCAGAGGGAAAGAATATCCACTGTCTACCTTACTTATACATGTGAAGTTTTGAATCATATGAATAAATCATGTGTTTACATTCAAAAATAATAATGAAACCAAAGCATTGCTCTGAACAGGGATTCAATCAATTCATCTTTCAGCACTGCTTCCTCCAGACGTCAAAGAGTGTTGGCATAAGACTGACCAAAGGTTATCATTATTATTATTATTATTATTATTATTACTATTTTACTTTTTATTTTGGAATAATTACAGACACATGGAAGTTGTAAAAATAGTGCCAAGTGTTCCACGTACCCTTCACCCAGTGTCCCCCCAGTGGTGACATCTTATATGGCTGTTGTATAATACCAAAACCAGGAAGCTGGCATTGGTACATTACTGTTAACTAGACTATAGATCTTATTCTAAAGGTAATTTTTTAAATATAGCCTTCTCACCGCTCACTTATTCATTTAACATGTTTGTTGTGCACCTTTAGTGTGCCAGATAGAGTGTGGAATAAAGGAGTGTGGTCGGGACACCTCAGACCCATCCCTGCCCTCATAGGGTATAGACTAATTAAGGTAACCCCTTTATTCAAGTGGGAATGGAGTCACAGAGGCCCAGGATCCAGCAGTGCACAAGGAGTGCTGACCACAGCTCTAAAAAAGGAACTGTGTCCCTTGCTGTCCTGGTCATGGAGCTTCACAGCTTGCCTGAAGCTGACTTTTAGTCCTTAAAAGAACATGAGCAATTACTCGGGCTATATTTATCCCCATTCCTGGAGCCACACAGGGATTTGGCCTCGCTCTACCAAAATCCTCAGCTCATCACTCATGCCCATCAGAGACAATCGTATGTCCTCAGCATAACAACAGTGGGCCGGTGGAGGCACACTGGCACACAGCTTGGGGAGGCTCTCTCCACAGGCCATTTGACTCAAGGCCAGGGAAGTTTTAAAGTCCCAGGCCAAAAGCACATCCTAGGACCAAGGGAAGCCAAGCCAGGAGGAGCAGCGTCTTGCCAAGAGTGCTGCCAGCTCAGGCACTGACTGCTGATGACCACACTGGGAGTTTT